GGAAGCGTGGTGAAGGTGCGACTGGCGAAAGACCAGTTGATGGGTTGTCCGGCAATGTTAAAACAAAAGGTCCAACGTATTTTTTGTTTCCAATAAGAAATCAGATCTGAGGGTTATGAAGTCCGACTCTTACGGCAACACGGCGACCTGTATTAGTGTTTATGGGAGGCCGGGCAAGTCTTTCATGGACTTAGATCGCCGTTAGTGCCAATATTTTGTCCTTCCCTTCCCTCCCTCACCCTCTTCCCTCACCCTCTTCCCTCACCCTGGGCCCCCCCCCCCCCGGGTGGCAGAGGTCTGAATCAGACCCAGTCTTGTGGTGCTTCAGTGAGCCACCAGGAGCCATCTTGACTACACGCAAGAGGAACATCCTTCCTTTTCAACCCACACGCACACACGCACGCACACACCCATTATGCAGACACGATAACAGATTAATTTTTCCCTTATCACAAAACCTTCTGCGCCATTAGTTAAATACCTCGTAGAGGATCCATCATGTTTACCCTCTGGTGCTAATAACGAGAGGGAGAGAGGGAGGGAGCAGGCAGGCGAGCGCAGAGCCATCACGCCGCCCACTGTGGTAATAACACCCTTGGCGGCGCCGTCGCAAAATAGATAGATAATGACAGGATGTTGTTAGTCAAAGATTGCACCTAAAACAGACTGTCGAAAAAGTTAAGTATAGATCGGTGCTGTTGGTCGGTTTGGTGGGGAAGGGGGGGGGGAAGGGAGGGGGTTGTTAGGGGGGTTTATTAGTTGTAGGATGTGGGGGGAGGGGGATGTCAGGGGACAAGACGTGGGAGGGGGGGGAGGGGTACATCAGTTCATTAATGAATTATTAATTAAAAATATTGAATTAATTTTTTTGTTAACTAGTAATAAGAGTGTCAACAGTACACATTTCGACTTTCTGTGAGTACTTGTCTTAATTGGCAAGGAGAGAAGACTAGGAATTACACATTTACAAATGTCTTAAAGGAATTAGTGGATTTGTTTATACGTCATATTAAAGCAGTAATGGTTATTAACTCAATTATTATTTACTACAATTCTATCCTTGGAATCTTAAAACAAAATATACGTTAATATTTACTTCAGGACACTACATGTGGTAGTTTGTACCCCCCCCCCCCCCCCACACACAACACAACACTCCCCCCTCCACACACAACGACCATCCCCCACACACAACACCCCCTAAACACATACAACAACCCTCCCCCCCCCCACCACCACACCCACACAGGGAAGATCGATGCTCCGGCAATTGGTGAACATCATCTTAGCTACAGAGATAAGCTAAGTTTTGTTTGGGGCCTTCCCCAAGCCCCATTCCCTACCCTTTCCCCAAGCCACAGTCTCTCCCCTACCCAATTTCCACCCCAGCCCCATCCCCCCACAAAGCCCCCCTCGTTATTGAAGATCATAAGCACTTAAGGACCAGAGAGAGTGGGGCGAGGCAGGGGGGGGGGGCCCACCCTGTGGTTGGCGCACACGGGGTCCTTGTTTGCCTGTGGGATGACGCCATTGTTTGTCATATGGGATTAACCATTGTGTGGAGGCCATACTGCCAATTTGATCTTGTTAGTGATGGTTACTCACAGGGAGCCGGTCGGCCGAGCGGATAGCACACTGGACTTGTGATCCTGTGGTCCCGGGTTCGATCCCGGGCGCCGGCGAGAAACAATGGGCAGAGTTTCTTTCACCCTATGCCCCTGTTACCTAGCAGTAAAATAGGTACCTGGGTGTTAGTGAGCTGTCACGGGCTGCTTCCTGGGGGTGGAGGCCTGGTCGAGGACCGGGCCGCGGGGACACTAAAGCCCCGAAATCATCTCAAGATAGTCCCTTCATCTTCTAGTGTGGGGTCTGGTCAACCGCGTGTTGGCTATTGAGGGGTGAACTTACCTATTTGTGTGGGCAAGGGTTGAGCTTTAGCTCCCCCTAGAAGCACGTTTTCCAGCCGTTGGTGCAATGATTCAAGCAACATGTGCATTAATATCTTCACTTTAAACCCGTTCTCTTCATATGCCACTCCGTACAAAATGCAGCCGTCTAAGCTATCCGGAAACAAACCCAAGCCAGGCTGTCCTACATTACCCGAACCAAAACCTAACCAGGGTCCCACAAATAGAAAATGGGACATCACGTCAATTTTGCGAGCCGCTGTGGGATCGAACACACTCATCTTTGGGCTTCAGGGATGAGAGTTCATCAAATATTTTCATCGAGAGATTCATCACGTACTTCAGTGTTTTCTTAACGAAACCTGTGCTTCTCTCCTCAATCATGACAGCTTAGTCTGTGTTTATTAAACAGTTTGCGAGTGTGGCAAAACCTGGCAACCTAATGGTCATTGTTGCCAACAACCTCGTTCCGCTTAACAGTAGTTTGGTTAATGTAGAGGGACCAGATTCACGAAGCAGTTACGCAATCACTTACGAACCTGGGGCCAGATTCACGAAGCAGTTACGCAAGCACTTATGAACCTGTACATCTTTTCTCAATCTTTGGCGGCTTTGTTTACAATTATTAAACAGTTAATGAGCTCCGTAGCACCAGGAGGCTGTTTATAACAATAACAACAGTTGATTGGCAAGTTTTCATGCTTGTAAACTGTTTAATAAATGTAACCAAAGCCGTCAAAGATTGAGGGAAGATGTACACGTTCGTAAGTGCTTGCGTAACTGCTTCGTGAATCTGGCCCCAGGTCTCTTAAGAGGACTCTTGAGTGTTTCACGAGTCTTAACGAAATACTAATAACGAAATACTAACCAGTAACGAAATACTGCTGTTAAGTATACAACCAGGGTATACCATGCCACGAACCACAGTATACCAAGACACGAACGAGAGTATACCAAGACACGAACGAGAGTATACCAAGACACGAACCACAGTATACCAAGACACGAACGAGAGTATACCAAGACACGAACGAGAGTATACCAAGACACGAACGAGAGTATACCAAGACACGAACCACACAGTATACCAGCTCCCGTATACCAGTAACGATGTAGAATGAGTCGACGTAATTCTCCCCGACACACACACCTGCTCCATGCTACATTTACACACTTCCCATACCTGTCCTCTACCCCCCTCATCCCCATCCCCCCTCACTAATAACTCTCCCCCACCCCCATACATCTATCCACCCGCGCCTCCATCCGAGGACAGGATTAGGGATTCATTAAGTTTAGTCTGGACACTTGCAGCGTTTGACACCTGTGACACACCTGCTTTAGTGTCAAGCAGTCAGCCTGGTCGAACACAACTGTGTCAAGTGGACAGTGGTTTGGCATACCCTTCCCCTCTTCCTCGTCTGACATAACTGACCCCAGGAGACGCAATTAGGTGTCAAGCTAACAGTTACTTGACACCCTTTCCCCTTACTTTCCCTTAAGCTAACACCTTTTCCCCTTACTTTCCCTTAACCTAACACCCTTTCCCCTTACTTCCCCTTAATCTAACAGTCTCTTGAGCCGGCACAACTGACCTATGAGACGCAATTAGATGTCAAGCGGCCAGTCACTTGACACCCCCACTTCTCCCATAGTTTGACAGCCAATTGGTCCGATATAACTGACTCCAGGAGTCAATTAGGTGTCAAGCAGCCAGTCACTTGACACCCCCACCTCCCCCCCATAGTTTGACAGCCAATTGGTCCGATACAACTGACCCCAGGAGTCAATTAGGTGTCAAGCGAGTGCATAGTAACGAGGTCAGGCTGCCGTCTCCTCCATAACTCGCCCTGACGGACGAACCTTTAATTATATTCTATTAAGAAGACGCTAATTACAGAATATTACACGTTCGCACCCGATGCTCTTAATTATCACACACAATAGCGGTTCCGTCCAGCAGCGGCCGTTAGTCTCCTTCGTATTTACCCGCGGAATTTTAAATTCATAATTTTCGGAGGTTCGCCCCCCCCAATCACTCACCTCTGTAGGGGGGCTCTCTCTTCAATCCCCCCTTCCTCTGCAGGGCTCTCCAACCCCCCTCTGTAGAGATTCCCCCTCAACCCTTTTATCTGTAAGGCGAGGCACTTATTTAAAACTAAGTCAGTCTGCTGGCTGTGTGAATTTATTCAGGCGTCAGGGGAGGGAAGGAGAGGGGAGGGAGAGGGGAAGGAGGAGGGAAGGAGAGAAGTCAACACAGAGGGCAGGACCCCACGCCACAGCCCCCCCCCCCACTGGTCAAGACACCCCCCCCCAGCGCTCTGTAATCCCCCATAGCATGTTACCAGATCACTAATTATCCCATAAATCCTGAGTTAAAATAATCCTAATTATAACATAAAATACGAGTTATTATATGCTTAATTTCCTCACAGAAGCCGAGTTATAATAAAGGCAATTACTTCACAAATCACGTTATGAAAACAAAGTAACTCTGGTATAATTTTAAGGCTTTGTGTCAAGGCGAGACTTAAGTCAGTCTTATGGAACGCCCAGACGCGGGCTGCCCACATCCACTATATCCAACGATAATCATTGACCAAATACATTATAAAAATTAAAAAAAAATGTTGGATGATTCACCCGATGAAGTTGCACAATGATTTCTTCATCGATCGAAAGACCAGTAGACTTTGGGATATAGGATATTAAATCAGGAAATATAAAGTGAAGGTGCTTAAGTTATATGATAATTGATTTTAAATGAGAGAATTAAGTGTGCAAAGCAAAATGTTTTGAAATACTGTGAAAATATATGTATATTAAGTTAGCAGGAGAAAGTTTGAAGGTTGTGAAGTGAACTATAGTGCTGGAATTACTCAATGTCCTCCACACGCATCTAGCAGTTCTGTTTACCCTCGAGAACTGAAAATGGCGGGAACTGCAGCAGCGCCACCGACGCCCCACTGACCAACCTCTTCGGCAGACCTTCAATGTTTTGAGAGTTGGTTTAATCCGTCGGCATCCGCACTACCATCCGCCCTCTTCCCCCCCCCCCACGGCCCACCAGCACACCGCCCACACGCCCACGGGATGAGTGTGGTTGAGGACGCGGGCGTACTCAAGGCGAGAGCCACAGACTTCTCCATCGCCGCGATAATGGGCGCTGCGGCTAAAATGGCCCCACAAGCCACAGAAGGTTAGTCTATTTTGTAGTGCAATCTGCGTGTGTGTTGTTTGCTGTGTATCAAAATGTGTATTTTGATTTTCCTGTGTATTTTGCTCTGTCGTTTGTCGTCCAGTTTAAATTCAAATTCAAATAAAAAAACTGTCGCATATATTATCACATCACAATAATCCTCATGTTTTCTCCTTAGTACATATTAATTAATTTGTAAAACTATCCTCTTTTACAATGCTCTTTCGAATCACTAATGAATCTTTGATTAGAGAGACGATTCAAAAGTTTAACTCGCGAAAAAACACAAAATAGGAGCAAATCGTCAATAGGCTTTTCCCAAAAGCTGGCGTTCAGTAGATCAAGCTTCGTGTCAGCTGGAAGGAAGTCCGCCAACTGGAAGAGAGCTTCAGCGGGAACAACATTCAGACCACACCGCCATTACCGCCAAAATTCTTGATCTTAGTGCTTGTTGGAAGCCGTTGTCCTGCGGGTCCCTGCCACTCTTATTACCCCAGGTACCGATCCTATTTGTTAAGACTAGGCTGCGCCCAGCCGCACCTTGGCACTTATTGGCCAATTTTAGGCTAAACGACAGATAAACGTCATAGTAATTAACAGTAACTCCTCCTACAGTTTCTTATCCTTGTCGTGTGAGCTCCGTTTCTGGTGCCAGGAATTTTCTACCCAGCGGGAGCCATCAGAGTTGCTGCTTTATTGTGTCGTCTCTACCTTGGGACTCTTTAGCCTCTAGTGGTGGCCAGACCTGACTAAAGATTCTTTCCCACCATTCGTGGCACCCCACAAGAGGCGGCGAGACGCCCCAGGCTCTAGTAAGTCAGTATCCGACTATTTCATCGTAAACTCTACAGCTGCTCTTTGTTCTGGAAAGACCTATGGAGCGGACAACAGCAACACAGTTGAGGCGAGCGTCCTGGTTGATACCTGGTTGATGGGGTTCTGGGAGTTCTTCTACTCCCCAAGCCCGGCCCGAGGCCAGGCTCGACTTGTGAGAGTTTGGTCCACCAGGCTGTTGCTTGGAGCGGCCCGCAGGCCCACATACCCACCACAGCCCGGTTGGTCCGGCACTCCTTGGAGGAATAAATCTAGTTTCCTCTTGAAAATGTCCACGGTTGTTCCGGCAATATTTCTTATGCTTGCTGGGAGGACGTTGAACAACCGCGGACCTCTGATGTTTATACAGTGTTCTCTGATTGTGCCTATGGCACCTCTGCTCTTCACTGGTTCTATTCAACATTTTCTTCCATGTCGTTCACTCCAGTACGTTGCTATTTTACTGTGTAGATTTGGTACTTGGCCCTCCAGTATCTTCCAGGTGTATATTATTTGATATCTCTCTCGTCTTCTTTCTAGTAAGTACATTTGGAGGGCTTTGAGACGATCCCAATAGTTTAGGTGCTTTATTGCGTCTATGCGTGCCGTATATGTCCTCAACACCACACAAGCATGATTGGATCCCTGGACGGGTTGAACGGCGTTCACGTGCGCCTGGTCGGGGGACGGGGCGTTCATGTGCGGTTGCTTGATACCCGCACAGTACCCCCACGGTGGTGGGTGTACCGGCACAGTACCCCCCCACAGTGGTGGGTGTACCAGCGCAGTACCCCCACGGTGGTGGGTGTACCGGTACAGTATCCCCACGGTGGTGGGTGTACCGGCACAGTACCCCCACGGTGGTGGGTGTACCGGTACAGTACCCCCACGGTGGTGGGTGTACCGGCACAGTACCCGCACAGTATCCAGTTCCCTCTTGAACACTGTGAGGGGTTTGCCAGTTATGTCCCTTATCTGTAGTGGAAGCGTGTTGAACAGTCTCGGGCCTCTGATGTTGATAGTTCTCTCTCAGAGTACCCGTTGTACCTCTGCTCTTCAACGGGGGTATTCTGCACATCCTGCCATGCCTTCTGGTCTCATGTGATGTTATTGCTCTGTGCAGGTTTAGGACCAGCCCCTCTAATATTTTTAACTTATAAATTATTATGTATCTCTCCCGCCTGCGCTCAAGAGAATACAGATTTAGGCTCTTTTGTCGGTCCCAATAGTTTAGATGTTTTATCGAGTGGATTCTAGCAGTAATTAAAGGATTTCTGCACGCTCTCCAGGTCAGCAATTTATCCAGCTTTGAAAGGGGCTGTCATTGTGCAGCAGTACTCCACTCTAGAGAGCACTAGCGTCTTGAAAAGTATCATTCGTATTTGCATCTCTAGTGTGAAAGGTTCTTGTTATCCAACCTGTCATTTTTCTTACAGTTGTGACGGCTACTTTATTGTGTTTTGAAGGTAAGGTCTTCCGACATGAGTACACTCAAATCCTTTACATTGCCTTTTCGTTCCATGTTATGATTTAACCGAGTTTTGTACGTGGTTTCCGTTTTTATATTTTCATTTTTTCCGTAGCGCATGAGCTGGAACTTATCTTCGTTAAACACCATATTTTCTGTAGCCCATAGAAAGACCTGATTAACATCTGATTGTAGGTTTGCCGTCTCCTCTATGTTGTCTACTCTCATAAAAATCCTAGTGTGATCTGCAAAGGACGATAGAGTACTATAGATTGTGTCCTTGTCTATGTCCGATATGAGGATGAGAAAAAGTACTGGAGCAAGCACAGTACCCTGGGGGACTGAGCTCTTCACGGTTGATGGGCTGGATTTTATTTTGTTGACTATTACACATTGGGTTCTGTTAGTTAGGAAATTGTAGATCCATCTGCGTATTTTTCCGGTAATTCCTTTTGAACGCATTTTGTGTGCAATAACATCATGGTCACATTTATCAAAAGCTTTTGGGAAATCTGTGTAAATTACATCAGCGTTTTGTTTGTCTTCCATGGCATCTAATGCCATGTCATAGTGGTCCAGCAACTGTGACAGGCAAGAGCGCCCTGTTCTGAAACCATGTTGTCCGGGGTTATGGAGATGCTGTGATTCCATGTATTTTGTCATCCTACTTCTTAGCACACACTCAAAGATTTTTATGATGTGTGATGTTAATGCTATCGGTCTGTAATTTTTTTGTCTCTGCCTTATTTCCTCCTGTATGGAGTGGTGCTATCTCTGCTGTTTTTAGTAAGTCAGGGATAACGCCAGTATCTAGGCTTTGTCTCCCCAGAATGTGGAGGGCCTGCGATAGTGGTTTTTACAGTACTTGATGAATATGGAGTTCCAAGAATCATGGCCAGGTGCAGTGTTTAGTGTTTACGTTGAGTGAGGGTTGACTCAAAGGTATTTACCACGTGTGATGGAAAGTGAACAGTCGGCCAAGTACGTGAATAACGTGATTGATAGACAGACAGACTCTCTGTAAGGGCGCTGGTGGCTAAGTGGACAGCACTCTGGATACGTAGTCCTGTGGTCCGTGGGTTGATTCCCGGTGCCGGTGGAAACAAAAATGGGCAGAGTTTCTTTCACCCTAATGCCCTGTTCACTTAGCAGTAAATGGGTACCTGGGAGTTAGACAGCTGTTACGGACCTGCTTCCTGTGTGTGTACTAACCTATTTGTGCTAGTGGGGGTTGAGCTCTGGCTCTTTGGTCCCGCCTCTCAGCTGTCAATCAACTGGTGTACAGGGTCCTGAGCCTACTGGGCTCTATCATATCTACACTTGAAACTGTGTATGGAGTCAGCCTCCACCACATCACTTCCTAATGCATTCCATTTGTCAACTACTCTGACACTAAAAAAATTCTTTCTAATATCTCTGTGGCTCATTTGGGTACTCAGTTTCCATCTGTGTCCCCCTAGTGCGTGTGCCCCTTGTGTTAAATAGCCCGTCTTTATCTACCCTGTCAATTCCTCTGAGAATCTTGTACGTGGTGATCATATCCCCCCTAACTCTTCTGTCTTCTAGCGACGTGAGGTTTAATTCCCGTAGTCTCTCCTCGTGGCTCATACCTCTCAGCCCGGGTACTAGTCTGGTGGCAAACCATTGAACTTTTTCCAGTTTGGTCTTATGCTTGACTAGATATGGACTTCATGCTGGGGCTGCATACTCCAGGATTGGTCTGACATAGGTGGTATACAAAGTTCTGAATGATTTCTTGCACAAGTGTCTAAATGCCGTTCTTATGTTAGCCAACCTGGCATATGCTGCTGATGTTATCCTCTTGATATGGGCTTCAAGAGACAGGTCTGGCGTGATATCAACCCCCAGGTCTTTCTCTCTCTGACTCTTGAAGTATTTCATCTCCCAAATGATACCTTGTAACTGGCCTCCTGCTCCCTACACCTATCTTCATTACATTACATTTGCTTGGGTTAAACTCTAACAACCATTTGTTCGACCATTCCTTTAGTTTGTCCAGGTCTTCTTGAAGCCTCAAGCAGTCCTCCTCTGTCTTAATCCTTCTCATTATTTTGGCGTCGTCAGCAAACATTGAAAGGAATGAGTCTATACCCTCTGGGAGATCATTTACGTATATCAGAAACAGGATAGGACCGAGTACAGAGCCCTGTGGGACTCCACTGGTGACTTCACGCTAATCTGAGGTCTCACCCCTCACTGTAACTCTTTGCTTCCTATTGCTTAGGTATTCCCTTATCCACTGGAGCACTTTACCAGTTACTCCTACCTGTCTCTCCAGCTTATGTACCAGCCTCTTATGGGGGACTGTATCAAAGGCTTTCCGACAGTCCAAAAAAATGCAGTCCGCCCAGCCTTCTCTTTCTTGCTTAATCTTTGTCACCTGATTGTAGAATTCTATTAAGCCAGTAAGGCAAAATTTACCCTCCCTGAACCCATGTTGGCGATTTGTCACGAAGTCCCTTCTCCCCAGATGTGTTACTAGATTTTTTCTCACGATCTTCTCCATCACTTTGCATGGTATACAAGTTAAGGACACTGGCCTGTAGTTCAGTGCCTTTTGTCTGTCACCTTTCTTGTATATTGGGACCACATTAGCCACCTTCCATATTTCTGGTAGGTCTCCCGTCTCCAGTGACCTACTATACACTATGGAGAGTGGCAAGCAGGGTGCCTCTGCACACTCTTTCAATACCCATGG